GTCCAGCGCTCTGTAACTAACTTTGGTCCAGAGGCAGGGTCTGAGAGATGCGCGATAAGGAGCAGAAAAGAAAGTAACAACAGAGCAGTCATTCGAGTAACAACTATAGTCGTAAATTGTCGAATCATCAATCCTGGGCTTCACCTCAATTGTCAATTTAATAGAACCAATCGAGATTGGAATGATGCTACATCGAATTTTTACAAAATACAAACCATTGTGAACAAGGTACTTCTCCAGTCGAATAGAGTGTATCTAGTGCTTAGAAAACGAGCAGAAAACGACTATTCACCAAAACAACATAGCTATTCTTTAAAAAGAAGTGCCGACACGTAATGATGTAATCTCCCCCTGCAAACCATACTACTGTTCTAACATTCCCTAAGATATGTAATATAAACGTAATGATTCTTACCGGAAAAATAGGAAAAGGAATCGAGAACAGAACAACCTTCACTAGGTGAGATTCCTGTTAGCATTAGCAGTCCTACACATTCAACAGGAAAAACAAATACAACTATTGAAAAAATGACGGTTTGAACGAATGACTAAAAACAAACAGAATCTATTCAGAAAATAGCAATTTCATTGGAGGCTCTCCATATACCACATCACTCTTCTGGTTTTCAAGATCACTCAACACCATCAACTTTGTTTCCTTTGGAATTCCTTCGTGTTCATCCTGCCATAACTCTTACCTTCCAGATCCATTGTGTACACATTTCGAAAATTGAAAAACGTAGTTTCCAATGTCTTCAACATTGGTAAGTCTAGAAGTTAGCCGAAAAAGAAAAAGATACTTGCAAATACAACTTTGGTTTGTTCTTTACAGCCCATGAAGCATGAATAACCTAGTTTCATTCGACATAGTTTTGGCATATCTCCAACTTAATCATTCCTCGCAGAACTACCTGAAACAGTTACATTCAAACAGAAAGGAAATGACATCCCATCGATATAGAACTTACTCAAGGAAGGATTGCAGCAGAACTCGCAGATCTCGCAGTCTAGAAAGCAACGACTTCCTATGGTCAATTTCTTTAGAGACTGGTTATCTACATGACAAAAGGATGCAATCAAAGGCATACTTGAGATAACACATTTCTTCGAACCACGAAAGCATTGATCTTCGATTGTTACTTCTTTGAGTACGGGGCAACGAGAGAGAATCATAGTGCAATCCTCACTTTGCAAGCAAGACTCCCCAAGAAGAGAAGTGAAACTAAATGACTCGATTTTAATGCTCTCTAATCTCGAAGCATTTATGATAGCTAGAGAACGAATGTGACGACACGAACAAGACGAGATCGTCAAGCTCTTTAGTTCCCTCAGTACAGAAACATTTGGGAGACAGTTATCTGAAGGGTGGAGACGAACATGAGCTGAAAAAGAATGAATTTGTCCACTTTGTTCGTATTGCAGAGGATAACCGTTTAGCCAATATCCATCATACACTATCTCTCCCTGACGACCGTATAGCACACCCTTTCCAACTCGTACACCATTGTGAATAGATCCAGCATATTCTAAAATATGCAAATCAGGGTGATAATAACAACCATAACATATATTTTTCTCACCAAATCGAAAGCCCTCATATTCAAGATTACCTTCGGCATTATAGTAACAGCCCCAGCCACATGGCATATTATTAGCACACTCTCCTTCCCACCGTACTCCATTGTCATCAAGATCGATAATATCAACATAGGGAGTGATTTCTAGAGAATATCCAGCACCCTCATGGTCAAATTCGATACAATGAATAAACTTTCTCAATTGGTAGTCAACGACGAAAAGATAGTTTCGAAACACTCCATCTGTTATTTCTAACTGCTCTATCACGGAATGATTGAGAAACGCTAAAGCAGCACCATTTGCCTCCAAATCACTGTCAAAATGACAAAATGGAATAAACTCTTCGGAAACGATATACTTATGAAAAAGAAACGGACGACAAAAAGAGTTAGGATCCATTTGTGTTCAAAAAATGAGTATCAGTTGTGAAATTCTTTCTTTAGAAATTAATAGTGCTGGTTCTCAGAGAATGTATCGAAAAGACTGCCACAAGATGATAGGTTGCTTAATTCTAAGGACTCTCGTCCGAAGAAGACAGGAGGTGAGCGAATGGAATGTTCTAAAGAGTGCAACACCCAATACTATGGAATATAGTATTAGTCAAGTACCACAACTAGTTACCACATCAAACAAACATACAAAAATGAGGTTACGAAAGATTTCCACCTTTTCCACTCCAAATTATCACCTACTACCAAGCTGCAGGCTTTCAAAATAATTTCTTGTTCGTTCTTTTCCAGATGGATCATGGCAGCAAACAACGCTTTCAGCCCGATTCGAAGCAAATACTCTGCATCCCCCTT